TTGTAATATAGATAACTCCATTACTCAAAGTAAACTAAACGCTCCCTTAAAAATAAAAATAAAAATCTTAGACGCCATTTTCCACAATAATATAGTAATAGTTCAATATACAAAAAGAAAAGCAAATGTTCAGCAATAACTATCACCTTTTATTCAGCTTTTTTCCCCCACCTCAATAGATATAGCAAATATTTCCCTATTAAAAAAAAAAAATCAGACAAAAGTAAAGGCAAATTGTAACAGATTGAAACAGTCTCACAGGTATTTAACTTCCACAAAAGTTCAGCTTTGCTTCTGTAAGATGCATCCTGAGCTTCCCGTATCATGGCAGCCTGTAATATTTTCCTTAGTGTTCCCATTGAAGAAATCTCCAGCTTACTGAATAACATAGCTATTTTGAAACCACACATTCAGCCATGTCTGCTCCCTCAGCAGACCTTACTACTTGTAGAAGCAATGTGCACACAGGCAGTGAGCAATAAACCAGGCTTTACTGATGTAAACCATTAACCACTATAACCACACTTCTTCTCATATACCTCTCTCTGAGAAGACAACCAATCAGAGTGAGCATTAAATAAGAACATTTAACTGGAACACGTTACATGTGCTTCCTTTGCCTCCCCAGGAAACTAACGAAGACTTAAAGTCACAATTTCTTCATGTTTGTTCGCTGTTAAAGAAAGGGCTCAAAGAGCAAAGCAAGGAAGCCAACAAGAACACAGAAAAATGCAAAGCAAAATCATTTGCCATCTCAGAACAGTACCAATAGTAGGTAATAGAAAATTGAAGTACACATTTTGAGTGTATTATTACACTATCAAAATATTACAAGAGAAAAAAATAATGTCTCTCAACAAGTGCATCCATGGGTAAAATAGCCTCCCGTCAAGGTCATGGCATATTTTATTTAAAATAGAGAACCTTTGGACTTCAGAAACAGAAAGAGAAGCCTTATTTATTTAGGAAGAAACTATTACACTTGCTTGGCTTTCCCTTGGTTCTTTTCTTATCTGCACTCCTAGAAAAGCCTGTCCCTCAGCTCAGATGTTGATGTGCTATGGAAGTCAGAGAGGCCAAAAGAGGAACAGGAGAAACAGCTGAGCACATGCCAAACAACAAGCCTTAGACTATGCTGAAAAAAGAAGTCCAAATTGCAAGTCTTCAGCAAGATCTACTTTTTAAGCTTACCGGATTTGTATGTTTCATCTCTTTGACAGAAACCATCCTTCAGGAAAGGAAATGCCCTCATTACCCCTTCTTAGCTCCTTCTGACAAAACTTTCCATTTCAAGAGAAGAAAATGTGCCCTATCAGCTTGCTCCAGCTCCCCAGGAGGAAGAGGAGGAGGGCAGCTACGCTCATTTCTCCCTATTGGCATTCTTTTTCCAGGTTAGAATTACCATCCAAAGCAGCAAAAAGTTTTCAGAGTAAACATCAGCAAGAGAATGCACAGCACTGCAGGCTTCTTTAATATGAAGTACATTACTATATTAGGTTACTGGTGAAAACAAGGACTCTACAACTGTGATTACGAGTGCCATAGCCGCAGCAGCTGTGAATAAAAAGCTTTGAGTACTTAAACAGAGTACTAGGGAATACTGAACACCTCTTAGATTAAAGAATACCAGTTCTGAAGACACTTGTTTCATGCTAAACTGAGTTCAGAAGATAAACTGCCCAGGCTTGTAAAGCCAGCCTGCATAGTATTGCTCCAGCTTGGGCAATTCAAGAGAGTACAGCATGCATCATCAAATCTCCATTACATAAATTTTCTTTAACAGGTTAGGCTAGTGCTGAGGCACACATTAGCTGAATTGACCAACCTGTCCTTAATACAGGCCTTAGAGTTAACCACAGCAAGGGCACAATCACTTGCAGATCCCTCCATAATCCTTAGCCTAGCTGACTGTGACCAAACAAGACTTTCCCGTAGCACACAAACACTTCTTGAGCATGATCCTTTTTGTCTGGCCACAACCCTCACAGGCACAAAGGCCAAGGATGGGTTTGTTGGTTTGTTTTTTCTTAATGGATAGGGAATCCCCAAGTAACCAATTAAGCTGGCTTTAAGACTTTGAAAAACCAGGGCAGCACAGAGTGAACTTAATGGGAAGCAGATCTGGCCCACTATTTTAAGTAATCTTTAGACAGTTGAGGGGGGGAGAAGGGGAAGGCTTAAAGTTTTGCTTGAAGATTGCTGTGGCCAGGAATATTATTTTGCCCCTAAGCACATCTGTCCTAGATTTGCAACCTGTTCCAGAAGAATACAGATACGAATACTTTTAGAACAGAAATTCAATGGTAATAGCTCTTGACGCGCATACAACATATGCTCTGAGTTCACAACTGGACACATAATCGGTGGACACTTTCATTCTGGTAACACAGCAGCCAGGAAAATAAATCCTGGTAGAGGAACATTACACACACTTGTAGCACCTTGAAATCATCGCACAGGAAAATCCTGAGTCTGACAACCATTTGTTTTCACCAGGTGAGCATACTCACAACACTGTCACATTCATACAGCTTCTTGGGCTTATGTCTTCAATGCCAGTTGGCAACCAAGACCTAAACTACTAGGCTTGCATAGTTTGGGGGGAATTAAACAAAGGCATACAGTTCATAGTACTTCCTTTTAATGCACAGTGGAAAGCCAGAGCTGAAGGACGAGGCATAAATCGGCAAAAAAGAAAACGAATATAAATATGAGTCTGGCATTTCCTTGAGCTACAAGGAAGCATAAGGAAAACCACAGCTCTTATCATCACGGACTTCAGTAGTGAATAGCTAAATTGCACCACTAAGTCTGGACTTCAGAGCAGTCGTCTTAGTTGAGACCTAGTTAGGTTCCCTGTAGGCAGGAAACAACTTCAAGAACATCTTTTTTCAAAGCTTCAGGGATAAACAAGTATTTCCAAGTACTTTCAGAGGAAAAATCCTACGTTAAGATCTATATGCATACAGCAGTAAGTTAAAGAATAAATAGCTCATATCCTTCATGTTCCATGTAAACATTATTTAGAAGCACACTGCTTTCACAAACATAACTAGCACTAACATTCCCCACTAAAACACAAATTTTAATACCTAATTAAAAAAAATAACACAAATGTGCATAAAAACAACTAGCTCATATCTGAACTGCAGAACATCAAGCTTAATAGTGAAGGCTGGTGAACGTGTAGACATAAGATGCCAGTGGTACGGGTAAGTTTTGTTACAGAAATGACCATCTCCACGATAAAGCCAGCACCTGCCCTTCCTCTTTGAACTTTCAGATTCTACCAGCAAAAAACATTCAAGTGCTCACTCCATTACCTATTCACAACTCTCTCAGACACCAGCAGATCACGCACAAGTCTCTACAGAAAACATGAGCTCTTGAGAGCTCATCTGGAAAAAGTCTGTGTGCCTTCTGCATACTATTCCTTAGATACAGCTTTTTCCAGGTGCTTTTATATTTTTTACATGCTTTCGTAAGGATGTCCTTTTTTTCCTCTAAGAGATAGAGTATACTGATACTTGGCAGCAAACTGAACAATATTCAAACAATACACAGTGCTTATGCAGGACAGTTGGACTACAGCTAAATTGCTAACTACCTGTTCTACCAACTGTGAATTCCAACTACTTGCTTACTGATAGCAGCAGGAGTTGATTAATAACCTGTTCCCACCGGTACTTACTCACTCCTTACACTGGAAACAAACCTTAGCCTTGCAGAAATCACAGCCTCTACTCAGCGCCCTATGATTTTGCAATGATTCACTCCAACACACAATGAGATAAAAGCATTTCACATTATCTCTCCACACGACAGAGTTAGAAGTACCAACTTTCACAGCCTGCCCTGAGGTGCTGGCGCTGGCATATCCGCACCTTCCAACTGAGGAAAGGAAGAAGCTGGTTTTCTACTGTCTCATCCAAGAACAACTCCGCAGCTGCCAAATACAGAACACCAGCATCATGCAGAACCGTACAGCAACCCAGTCCTATACTTTCACGCATTTCTCAGATGCTCTGTTATACAGGTGTATGCCCTACCTCAGCAATGGGGCACTGACACGTGTTCAATTTAAAAACTCACCCTAGCACGGCCTTTCAAAACAGAAAGAAAAGGAAAAAAAGAAAAAAGACGGGATAAAATCTGCTATGTGATTCATAAATTTCCTACAGCTAAGTTCAGCAGGAGCCGTGCCTTACACACCCTTTTTGAAAGAGCTACTGAGCATAAGCAACACGTAAAGCAGCGCTTTAAGCGCACGCCGCCAGAAGCCGGGTCAGCACCGCAACGCGCTCCCCCTTCCCTGCGGGAGCCGCTCCTTCTGGAGCAGCCCGCACTCGCCGGGTGACACACAGCCACACCGCCGACAGCCGCACGACGCAGCCACTGCATCCCTCCGGCTGAGAGGGCACCAAAAAGGAAACGTTCGGGCAGCGCTGTTAAGACGCGAGGCATTCCGCTTGTACTTTGCACCGGGCAACAGCGGAAGGGTGCCCGCCAGTCGCAGCGGGCTGCAGCCCACACCTGCCCTGCCCTGCGCTGCCCGCGCGGCTCCCCGGCCCGCCCTCCACGCGGGGCCTACAGGGCAGCACCGCATCTTCCGGGACGGCCGCTCCCGGCAGCGGAGCCCGGGGCACCTGCCGGCCCGCCCGCCTCTCCCCGCCGTCGCCGGACAGGCGATATTGCGCGGAGCCGGGCGCCGACTCGGAGCTGAGTTAAAAAGGGAAGGGGGGAAAAAAAGGGGGAAAAAAAAAAGAAGAGGAAAGGAAAGGCGCGGGCCGGCGGCCGCTCGCTGTGCGGCAGGGGAAGGGGCCGCCCGCGCCTCAACTTTCCTCAACTCCCGGCTCGCCCTCTCCCCGACGGCGGCCGGGCCGAGCCGGCTGCGGGACGCAGCGGCCGCGGCGCGGGGTGAGCGGGATGCGGGTGGGCAGGCCCGGCCTGCGCTGCCCCCGCCGACGCGTCGCCAGGGCCCGAGCGCTGCCCGCCGTTACCTCCTCCCCGCCGCCGCTCTCCTCCGTGCCGTTTCCGACGCTCGCCATGTTCCCGCTCCGCCGCCCGCCGCTCCGGGATGAACGCGGCCGCCGCGCCCCGTCCCGCTCCCCGCAGCCGAGTCCCCGCCTCTCGCTCTTCCCGGCCGCCCCCGCTCCACCCT